TCTTTTCACATACGTTTTCATGGCTGCCTTGTAGACTAATAGGTCGGTAAGTCCCCAGTGGACTCTAAATGGACACCTCCAGAAGGAATGTTGAAGTCAGGAGTCATTCCATCAAAAATTTTATTTCTCCAAGGAAGCAAGAGACGATCTTGACTTGCTACAAACCGACAACAGCAGCTGGAGACACACATACCAGAGACAGGAGTCAATGCTATTGAGGATCCAATGGAGGTGGAATCTGATGCTGATTGTGCTGAAACTTCAGATGACACAAAACAACTTGAGGGTGACAAAGTCAGTTAACTTAGGGAGGCTCTACAACAGGGATAGGTCACTCGCTTCTGCTTTTACCATTTGTACTCAATTAATGTGTGCCTCGTCATGCTCCAACGCACACAGTGACTTGGCTCTCGTTCCCTAGCGCAACTTCGGCTGCGTTTAACAGTACTTCAGCCAGTGTTTTGTATCAGTCGGAATTTTACAAGGAATGAATGAATTAAGAGCAAGAAGTATATGTGGAATGAATGAAAGAAATAAAGAAAAAGAAACAAAAGAAAGAAATACATATGAATGAATGAAAGAATAAATGATACACCACGGACATCCCTCCCCAAGCATGTTAAAGAACGCAAAACTATCGGTAAAACATGTGTTAATATCAGCTATCCTTTTTTAAAATCTACTTTGAGACATTTTTTTCATTAGTAACTAATTCAGATATCTTATTGCATCTGTGGAATGACATGGGCATTGATTGCAGAATGTTAACTGACACTGTCACAGACCCCTCTAAAACAGAAAGTTTAGAACTATCACAAAGCGTTGTAAACACTTTCCAGTTTTGGTTCATATTCTAAAATTCAATGTAAGGAAGAAAGAAGTTTTAGAACTATAACACTCAAGCATCACAAGCATCAATGGCGTATCAGAACATATTTTCACACACCTCAAATACACCCAAACAATTTTTAAAAAATATAATACTATCACTATTACTTGGTAAAACACCTTTCACATGATGGCATATTCCCTCATAAACATTAAAAGGTGTATGTGGAAGATGTTTTAGAGAATAATGTAACCAGGAAAACACTCAAACAACGCCCTGTAGTATTCAATGGCAGATCGGCGATATGTTATACTTCTTTCACACACCTCAAATGCACTCCTTACAAATTTTTAGTTATAAAAACTATCATTATTACTTGCAAACACCTTTCAACTAAAGGCATATTTCCCTCTCTAAAAAATTAAACGAATATGTGAAAGAAGTTTTAGCGATAGAATCTAGTCTTTCTTCGCTGTTTACTGAGAATTGAAGCCAGTGAGCTACAACATGCAGACTTGAAACTTTACTACAAATCTACTTGTACTAATACTGACACTAATAACAAATTATTTGACTTTAAAATGAAGTGACAGAATAGGTAACTTATCTTCTACATGTAGGTTTTCAGTTTTCACAACACTCAGCGTATATGTAATCAGCTGTTGAAAAATAAACCGGGCCCAATCTTAAAACTACAATGCTGCCATATTGGCTACACTAGTCACGTAACGAGCCGAGGCATACGCTAAGGGGCTTTCCGAGGAGTGACCCACTCCCCTGATATAGTCTCACTGGTTAACTACAGGACATGTTGAAGAAATGTAGTGAGGAAAATAAGAAACCTCAAGCAGAAAACCAATTGCTGGGGAGAAAATATGGAAATTAGTCGTTTTGGCATCAATCGTTTCTCATATGACGACTCAAAATACGGTTTTATACAGGATTTATATCCTATCAGGGTTTTGATTGCTTTCTTCAATTGATCCAGCCAACAGCATCAAACATGAAAAGTATGTACTCATCTGCAGGCTAGTGAGAACACATCTCTTGTTGAGGAAACGGAACATGCTATTGATAGATGAACTATTCATGTTTCTGTGTTGTATGAGGTAGGGCTGCTCGAAGAAGATTTATCAGATAGATTTGACTGTACCTTGTGCAAACAGTGAGTCGTAAAATTGTAACATGGCTGAATTCACTTGTATTTTGTTTTGGTAAGCATTCCACTGTGGCTTTCTCAAGGCAGTAAATAGACTGTCTGATGCCTGAAGATTTCAAGCCAAAGTATTGTTCAACCTGAGTTGTCTTGGACTGTACAGAAATCACATGTCAAGTCCCTTCATCAATGGTATTGAATAGCCAAGCGTATTCAAATTACAAGGACGTAGCCCTCACATGGTGCAGTGCGACTTTTCTTATCACCCCTATACACAGGATGCATGTCAGACAAATGAAATTGTAAAATTCATGTAGTGTTAGGGATTTACTTGAGTCAGGAGACAGTGTCATGGCAGATAAAGGTTTCCGACTTGAAAGATATTTTGTGGAGAAGAACATCGGTCTCAACATGCCGCCATTTTATCAACAAGTGATAATGAACAATTCACACCTGAACAGGTGGAACTGAATGAGGAAATTGCTAGTCTACGTGTGCATGTGGAACGGTTCAACAGATGTGTGAAGAAAAATCACATACTTGACAATGATGTACCAATGTCAATAATTGGTTCTATGAATCAATTGTGGTCAGTTGCATGTATTCTTGCGCCAGTTTCGGAGAGCATAATATCAAAATGAGATATTGCATGCTCTGGTCATTCCGGATATTCCAGACTTAGAAATACATGCCATTTTAGATAGTCAACAAATGTAATAATGTTATATTTGGGATTACACTCTATTCGCAAGAGTACCGATTCTAGTACGAGTCCCTCCTGAGATTCGAACCCACTCCCCTCAGAGTCAGGCACTATCCGCCAGCGCTGAGTGTCCCCAACACCTTATCCACTTAGTCACTGGGAGTCATTCAGTGCTGGCAGTTATGCCTGACTCTGAGGGTGTGGGTCTTGAATCCCGGAAGGGACTCGTACTAGAATCGGTACTCTTGCAGAGTGTAATCCGAAATATAACATTGTTATATTCCAGACTTATTAATAAAATGACATTGGAAAGTATCCTATGAAGTGTCCTTAAACGTTCTGCATACTTTTTATTTAGTTCACTTATATCCCACATATCAACAGCTTTTTCTCAGAATGTGCCCTTCTCTCTGATTACAATTTCACAACCACAATAAATGCACATGTTATGAAATTGACCAATCAGAGATAAAGATGCATTCTGAGCAAAGCTAATATCGACCTAGGTCTGATCACTTCAATCTTAGAAGAATTCTGTAAAACTCATCATGAGGGATTTAAGAGAACCAAATCAAAAATAATGCAAGTGACATATATACTGGACCAAATAATTTACGGGATATTGGTATTTTTATGATTGATATTTTATCAATGTGTCAATTAATAAATAAATCATTATTCATAATTTCAAAATTTACATATGTCCCAAACTATTTTAGTCCAGTATAGGTACTATTAATTGCAGAATTATCTTCAAAACATTGTATTTTTGCAATATAAGAATAAGACATCCTTGTATGAAATCTTTGAAAAATAATATACTTATCAAACATACAGGGTTGTAGGTTTTGAACAAATAAATACATTAAAGTGTTCTGACATTTGTTGTCTTTATTACACTACATTTCAGAGGCACAAATTCAGGTTAAAAAGACTTTCACCAATGTTCAAGATCTACAACACTAAAAAGGAATACATGTTCTATCATTACATACTGGCACATGACTTCATTGGCAAATCGGGGCTCGATTTAACAAACGCTAACGTACTTGCACCGGGTCAACCGGAGATAAAAAAATAGGTGCATATCAACCAAAAATCTGGTTGCACAATATTTTGAACTTTAACTTACACATTTATTTTCATCAGGTGAATTCACAAATCAAAGTTTGACTAGGTTTTACAGTCACTTTGGTTGCACTAGTGCAACTGCAAGTAACAGAAACACTAAATTGAGGCCTGCAAATGCTATATTAATTTATTTTTACAAGTAATAATTAAAAAAGAAGTGGTCTGCTTTATCTTTGATAGCGTGCCATTCTTCAGCATCAAAAGGATTGTTTCCAGATGATAGTAATTTTCACACCAAACAAAGAAATGACACCACTCTAGTCCTGTGACTCCAAGTTGAGTCTGCACTTGTGTGTAATATGGATGGTTATGATTAAGTTGAAGACGATCCCCCACTCTCTTCAGGTATGATACTTCCAAGAACAGATGTGACACATGGACATCAGGAATACCAATAGCAGGCTGGCGATTTAGTATATAAACGTTCCGATCTGGTGTAGCGGCGATCCAATAAGACCAGGGGCTTATAACAATGCCAACAGGATAAATGTTTGCTCCATCAAGTACCTGAATGTATCTATCAATAGCAAGTGGTCCATTTGCTAGTCCTGTTGCCATGGCCTGTGTCTGTCTTGTTTTTTTTCGCAGATCTTCAGCTAGTCTTTCAAAGTTGTCACTTCTGGTAAATACACTGCGCATCTTTGAAGCACCAGACGATCTTTCATAAGTTTATACCAAAGACTACAGTCACCTTCCAATAAGTTCTTAATTCCCCCTGCTTTATTATACCCCCTTGAGAACTCTTTCGCAAGAAGAGATAGAAAGGGGTTGACGTTTTTGAAAATGAACGGAACGAACACGAAACAGCGGCATTACTGCACCGTCTGCTCCAACTATGGAGGAAAGGAGATAGAAGGACGGGTAGTGACACTACATAGATTTCAAGCAAATGAATTATTGAAGAAAGCTTGGATTCGGCGGCTCAAATTGGTAAAAGGATTACAAACACACGACCACCCAACGTCTTTGTTCTGGAGCACTTCAGGGATGGACATTTCAGACGGAACTTACTACCATCCATTTTCGGGAGAAAGACGTTCAACACATACCAGGTAAAGTCAACATAAACATTACGCACACGTTCTCAATTTTCGTGTTTTCGGACACTTGAGAAACATTCATTTCTCTATGTTTTTTATATAATGTGTAGTGTCAACCTTCGGACAGAGAATATAACTAGATGTATTTGGCAATGATCATGACTGATCTGAAAGGAGATTAATCACAATTTTCGGAAAGAGTTCCGCCCGTACGCCGCCCCCATGAAAACAACAAATTACAAACTAACAGGCATACCTCACCCTAAATATAAATTCAGTAAACTAGAACAGGTATAAAAACAGTCAGTGAACTTATTTCAGTGTTGGAATAATACACCGTGGAAGGACTCCTGGAGCAAATATGAACTAGGTGAAAAAGTGGGAACGCTTTCCCAAATTTTTGCTAGTCATGAGAATGGACACCATTCGTAAGGATGTGTGGCTCAGTCGTTATGATTTTTATTTATGAAATTTTTAGTTTGAACACGGCTCTGATGAGAGTACCATACAAAGGGATGCAGCCAAACTAACAGGTGACTGTGGAAACGGGTATGAGCATTCTGTGTCAGACCATCAGCAGATTAATTTGAAGTCCTCGGGATCAAGGGTGGAAACTTCAGTCGTCGTGCATGACTATCGTGGACAGATTGAAGATCATATCACAAGTCAGCTTGTAAACAAGTGTAAACAGACTGATTTTCATCCTGTAGGTATTGATGCATCCACTCAGACAGATATCTTGGATAGTTTCTATATGACTGTTTCAACACAAACATTAATTTGATGCTATCGAAATTCCGATACCAAAGCCTAAAATGGTTTATGTGGAAATTCAGTGTAACAAGCCTGTGCTAACATGTGAAGATGTCTCCTCCAGTGAAAAAATCTCATTTTACGCAGGAATCCCTAACCCAGGAGTGTTGAAAGCCTTATTTGATGAGATGGATGATGCCATAGAGCATACAACTAGAAGTAAGTATTCAAGTGAATCGGAATTAGGTCGTCCACGCACCTTAAGATTAGTTGATGAGTTTTCTTAGTTCTCATGAGGCTTAGACTGGGACTATTACTGGAGGATTTGGCAGATAGATTTTGCATTTCAAAATCAACGTGTAGTATCATTTTTGACAAGTGGATAGACTATTTAAGTATAAAACTGTCTTCTTTGACAGTATGGCCGTCAAAACTGTCATTAAAGAAAACAATGCCAAAGAAATTTAGAAAATACCCTGATACCCGAGTTATCATTGACTGTACAGAAACACAGTCCCTGACAAATGGGACCCTCCTATACTCCAATTATAAGTCGCATATGACTTACAAATCGTTGATTGGTATTAGTCCTGCTGGGGTAATAACGTTTGTGTCTGACATTTGGTGTGGCAGTACCAGTGATAAACAGATTACCAAATTATGTGGTTTGCTGCATCTGTGTGAACCTAGGGATTCCATAATGGCTGATAAAACAAAAGGATTTCCATTTCTGATCTGACTACTGACTTAGGAGTGAAATTACACATTCCACCTTATAAGACAAAAGGTTTTTACGAAGAGAAGTGGAAGAAACAAGACGCATTGCAAATTTAAGAATTTACGTTGAAATGGCAATTAAACGTGTGAAGAATTTCAGGATTGTACAGGGGGTCATTCCAATTACTTTGGCAAAGAAAGTCACAAAATTTGGAAAGTGTGTGTTCACTTGACAAACCTTCAGCCTCCACTTGTTGGCAAGAAGTAATAATACTGATACACTTGCACTGTTGATCTGTGTGCTTTGTATTTCCAAATCCAGTGCAAGGTAGTGTGGTCCTGTGTATATAACTGAGATAACAAATCAGTTGAAGTTAATCAACGTTAAGCGCAGAGTCCTTGGATGGATGATGGTGTTTGGAAGTTGAGTCTTGAGAGTTTCTATGACATTAGTCCTTCCCCACAAAGAAGCACCTGTGGCACATGTGGTCTCACCTTATGGAAGTGAGTTTGTTCAAAATTGCCTCTGTTAACCCAGCAAAAACGGGTACCCGGTGGTGAGATAAGTCATGTGACTATTAACCTTCTAGCGCCTCACAGGCAGCTTGGGTTATCTGGGGCAATGTAATAAGCAGATTACAGCGTCCAGTGAGCAACTAGTGAGATGGATACTAGGTGCTATGTAAATGAGTTATTATTCGTATGTTTTACAGATAAAAGATAATATGCAGCAGAGAGGGTTCGGGTGATCCTGGCACAGTCAGGCTGGTAAGGCTCATCATCAGCTCAGGGCCCTTGCCCCCTCTACACGCAGCCCAGACAGCGAATGGGACTTCTCCCAGGAAACGCTGCCTAGTCGAACCCACCAAGAACTTTCCGGAGAATATGAAGGCTCCCCAACACTGTAGCCTTCTACATTACCCAGAGTATCAGGAGAACCCGGGCACTCTCCTGATCTGCACCAAAAGATCAGGAGGTACCAAACCAAGGGCACCGAGAACAATGGGGAGCCTGACGACAGTGTACTTGGGATGCCAGTGAGACATTTCAAAGGCGAGGTCCGCATATTTATCATGCTTTTCCTTGATCTTGTCAATCACATTCCTGTCAAAAGGGACAGAAAATTCAATGATATATATAAATTCATTGGCTTTATCAAAAAGGACAAGATCAGGTTTGTTGGCAGGAATTCTTCTGAGGCTGTATATGGGCCTATTCCACAGAAGTTTGAAAGCATCATTTTCCATGACGCCCTGGACATGTTCAGGGTCGTACCATGGATGGACCTCGGAGTCAAAGCCACAGGCATGGCGGAGACGGTAGTAAAAGCAACGAACCATGCCATCATGTCGTTTAAGATATGCTGTTTGTGCCAAGGAAGGGCATCCACTGACAAGGTGTTGGACAGTCTCCGTGAATTCATTGCAAAGTCGACATTTCATATTGATATTTTCTTTAAGAATCACATTTAGGCGATTACGAGTGGGAAGTGACTGGTCCTGGAGCAGCAAAAGGAAGCCCTCAGTTTCACATTTAAGACCAGCTGATTTCATCCAGGCGAAGGAGTCGGTGAGATTGCTATTCTGTTCAACACACTTGCATGTACACACGATGCAATGGCTTCTCAGAAAGCTTCTCCACAAAAAGACCGACTCTGGGCAGACTTAGTAAAGAACTTCACCTGGTTTACTCCCATCGCTGTACCGTCCAGCAGTACATCGCCATCAACAAAATCTACCTCAAATTTCAGATTCTGTCCAACAACCTTGGCACGCTTAAAATAGCTGTGGAATTCCTTGCTTTCATCATGAGTCTTCACATGCATCACCAGAGGATCATCCGATAAATAAATATGTGCAAAAGTACACAATAAAATTCTATCATGAACAGCCTCCACATTAATCAAACCCCGACCTCCAGAATTGATTGGCATGTATAAACGGTTAAGAGAGGAACGAGGGTGGTGGGCTCCTGTTATCAGACATGATCCTTCTGGTCAGACGGTCAAGACTCTGGATGTTTTGTTTTGTCCATTCAACTACTCCAAAGGAATAGGAAAGGACTGGCACAGCAAATGTATTGGTAGCTTTGACCTTGTTTCGAGCATTAAGCTCTGAGCTCCAGATTTTCTTTAAGCGAGATTTGTACTCGGCCCGAAGTTTGTCTTGAATCTGGGCATTCTGGAGCTTGTCCTCGAACTTGCATTCCAAGATAGGTGTAGGCCTGATCTTCCACAAGATGCTCAATAACCCCTCCCCTTGTAACTTGACCGATCCATCATCCACCTTGCCTCGTTTCAAATGAAGAGTATTACATTTGTCGAGTCCAAATGTCATGCCAATATCATTCGAAAAGGACTCGACAAGGAGAACCTGCTCTTTCAAATTGGAATCTCCTTTGGCAAGGAGCCTCGATGTCATCCATGTAAAGGAGATGAGTAAGAGGTGTTGGGGATCTGTGCTGAGGAGGTCCGGGATGGTAACCTCCTCTTTATTGAGCAGAAAGCTCAAAGGATTTAGAGACAAACAAAAGCAAAGGACTAAAGTATTCCCCTGGAAAATTCCCCTTCTGATTGGAATAGATTGCGAAGTCTGCACCTTCCCTTGCGAGTACATCTCAAGTTGAGTCGACCAGCAACTCATTAAAGACTTGAGTAAATCAAGTAGTCGCTCAGGGAGGTCTTATTATTATCATTATTATTATTATTAAGGTATATCACCAAAACTCAACCATCAGCTGTCTGATTCAGACCATAACATTGATGTTCAGAATATGTATTATTATACTGATATATTTGTGCTTTGGTATTTATGTAATACATCTAAGGACTTGATGTGGTCCAAAGGAATTCTAATTTAAACACTGGAATATTAGTTTGCATCTATAATCATGATTATGTAACTAGTCCGGTTCATGTTGTTCTTACCAATGTCTCCTGGTTTAACTATTGAATCATACTCATGTGATTCATGTATTGGTGTAAATAAAACTGACTTTACACATTTTTCAACAGCATTTCAGTTATCTCTGGTTTGACATTTACGACAGGACACACCTGGTACTATGTGAAAATTGAGAGCTCTGGCTTATACCGATGAATCATGGGCCGCTTTTTAGCATTGCACCCTTCCCACACTTACCTACTGTATTAGGACATAACTTTCTGTTGTAAACATTTCATGCACCCATAGGTCTTGTGTGTGCCTTTCCGCTTTATCAGGTTGGACTTCCATCTAATTGATAATAGTAATAATAGCTCAGTCAGTCACTGAGACACTTGAACATACGTATATAACTCACTCACACACTGACCTAAGACACATTGCTTACTTAGGTAACAAGTTATTTCTTCATCACTTTCAGTGCCAGCATCTGGGAAACAGCATGTACACTGAAGTAACAACCCTTTAATTGATTAGGCTTGCCAAGCCAGGATTGAACAGTAGAATTCTACAACTGTCAATAACTAAAATTAACAGTTGGTAATAGAAATGAAACACAGACTCACTTATAACAGATACGTTTTAATGTCATAAAGCCCTTACTTCAACATTTGTAATGGTAATCATTTCACTGAGTGACACTGCAAGTAATGGTATCATGAAGCATTTCACAAACAAAGACCTGGGGAAAAGAAAGGAAAATGTTTACATTATTATTGAAATGTGAAATAGCTTAAGAACTAAAATTCAAATAAGTAGTAAAATTTACATATCACCATTCAGTGAACGAAACTTTCAATAGTATGTGTTATCAATTCATACATTTTGTCAAGCTTGAATGAAAATGTTTGAAGTGAATAGTCACTATACATGTAGTTTTAAGGAAAGAATCTAAACCAACCACAGTACTCTGGTGTAAACATGATAGAATGGACATAGTGTATGTACACATTTAAAGTCCTTCATGTCCTTACACAGGATGCAAACGCTTTCCTCGTTTCACACGAGTTGTGAAAAGCTCTGGTAGAATGGCTTTTATATAAAAGTCATTCAGTAGAGAGAGGCAGCCCTCCAAGAATCTTGAATCAAAGTGTATCATTTCCACATGACAATCCTTCAGAGTCCATATGAAAAAATCACACCAGTTCATTTGGGATAGAGCCATTTGTCCTTGTATTTGGTAATAGTATGTGTGGCCAACTTTCAATTTAATTTCTCTTTTATTGAGCGAAGAACCGAATTGAGGATATTCCGCTACCTGGTGTACCGTGGAAAGCCGCCACTTGTAAGGACACTTAATTTCAAGAAGACCAGTTTAATTTCCAATGTGAACAACATCATCAGGACTGGATCCAAGATGAGGATAGTCCTGATGCACAATGAAACCACATGTAACAACCTTTGCATTCACGTCATGTTTCTTCATCAGATTTGCATATTTTTCTCCTTGCAGCCGACCCATGAGTACGTCCCCATCTCAGAGCATCATATGCAAAAATGGTCTTTACGGCATTATCATGGCATGTTGATGTTTTTCAGTTTACAGACAAGGCCAAAACTGAAAGAGGTTAATCGCCCTTCCCTTGCTGAGCTCCACATGTTATTGTTGGCTTGTCCACGTGTGGTCTTCTCAATTGTTACACAATCTTCTTTTGAGATGGACAAGGCACTGAAATACTCTGAAAAATGCCTGATACAATCTTCATTTTTCAAATCACAGGTGTCTGCATAGTTGAAATCAACTGAATGGAGGGGAGGTACTGATACATGGGATTCCTCAGTCATATTGACAAAGAGATTCTTTGAGTCAATAACCACCCTGCATGTGTTAATTGTTCACAGAGTTTTGGAGCAAATCTGTCCACATGTATGGGTTTAACCATCGATTTATCAGGAGCATTAGTAGCATCTTGCCGTATAGTTGTTGTCTTTTATGTTCTATCCACTTGTGTTTTGTGAATATCATATCCTGTGATTTAACAACTCAATTTACGTTTTAGTGGCTGGTTCCATTTGCATTCCTGTAGAAGTAGATGCGTGTAATCCCTTAAGTTTCTTTTTCTGAGATGTCAACCAAAGCATACAGGACAGCAGCGACATGGTTGCAAGATTCTCCTTCACTGAAACAGATAAATTGTTCACTGAATGTCAAATTGAAAATGTACAAAAACCCCTAATTCCATATCAAATGAGGTAAAAACAAGGCATACGTTTTACTTGGATACGGTCCCACACACGTAAATGGAACACATCTGTATTACCTATGCCGACAACGAACGCTCAAACGTTATTTGGTTATACATTCAAAGTTGAATCAAGTCCAGAACAATCATCACAATCATATATACACAAGTTTAGTTTGTTTTCAGTAAAATGGAATTCATACTTTAGATCTGCCAGATAATATGATTATCGGTAATTTATTAGATCTACTTACCCGGCAGTGCAGTTGCAACCAGCAGCATGTACCCGGCCTGTAACCTTTGACAAGGACACCCACACATCATAATCTGGTTTCTGTTTCATATTCTGAGTTGGTATGGAAGGAATCACTTTGGCATTGACATAACAATGAGAACAGTCCGCGGATATGTGGTGATATCGGACTGAATGAGACGTGTCTATCTTCATAGTACACTTTTAGCTTTCAACTGGCGTTTAGCGTTGTTTGGGTCAGTGTCTAGTGTCCCGCTGCTTGCTCAAAACCAAATAATTATACAGATCACTTGAACTAAATGATGGCATAAGCTCAACACTGCTATCCCAGCCATTTTTCAAGCGTAGTGGGTCTGGTAAAAGTTCCCGAGAGGTGACAGAAACTTCTCAAATCGTCTTTGTCTCACGCTGACCACGTCGTATGTATTGACATCTTCAATCGATCGTTTGCCAAGATCACGTACACCTTTGGCGCAAAATTAAGTCAGACTTATTCCCTGAAACGTGTTCTCCGTGATTCCGTAAGTAGGTCTTAAGTTCACGCACACTCAGTTCATGAAAATTCAGATTCACGTCTTGAGTTTTCCCGCCTTGTTTCTCTGCTATCGACGCCATTTTGAACTGAAAACATCTCCGGAAGTGTCCTTGATAAAGGGAGATAACACATGGAAGGGGAGATACGAACTTATTGGAAAGGACTGTAGCCTGGTTTCTTCCTCAAATGTATGTATTTCTTCAACAGTGCACTTCAAAGACTCCAATTTCAACTGCTTTTCCTTTGTCAGTGGAAACACAACCATATTGTTTTCTATCTTGTTGGATACTGGTAATTGTGGATACTTAAAATTGTCAAAAATAGAAATGTTAGAGTGGAGATTCAATTTCTGATGCACAGCTATAACAGACCCCTTCTGAAATTTACAAAACAAGTTTCAACCATTGGGACATACCCACTCACTTATAGCTCTAAGGCTGGGGTAATCATAGCAGATGGTGAAAACTTTACCCAGTAATGCATAGAGTGCAGCATGGTCTAGCATATCAGTCCCGAGAGGGTTGTATAATGTTGATTTCACCCGTCCTTTTAGGTGCTTCGATGGGATTGTGCTTTTGTTTGTATCCAACAGCCACAACGTCTTGCACTTCCACTCCAGTTATTTTTTCTCCTCTCTAGGTTTATGCCATGTCTGTGGCTGAGATGTTTTCACAGGGTCTGTTGGAATCACCTTGTTTCCCAGTTTCTTTAAGTGACCGATGTCATACAGTAAAGGCTCCAACCTTTCCCTTTACCTTTGGGACAGTCACACTTTGCATCTTCAACGTAACCATCAGTCACACCAATAAAACTGTGTCACCTGCAACAAACATGATGAAAGATAATATTTACAAAATGTACATATCAGCAGTTATTATAAATTTTGCATTTTAATTCACATTGGAAATCATTTGCTGGGATGAAGCTAACTCTGAGAAAACATATGTTACTGTATATCTTAAATGTTAAACAGAAGTATTTTGTTTATTCAAGTAAAGAATCCTCACAAAACACCAACTGTTCAGGGAAGTCAACATAGAATCAGCATGAATGAATAAAAATAACTTATATAGTGCCTTATTTCTAGACATGTTGCTGACTGACTAGTGTGAGCTGCTCAGTGATACTCAACAAGACAAACTATATTATTAGTGAGTAAGTGAGTGAGTAAATGTTTATCGTCACATTAGCAATATGTCAGCCATATCGTGACGAGAACAGTTTATAATTATATTATAGATCAATAAAGTAAAAACCTGTTGACGAAGAACAGTAAAACTACTAGTGTATCACAGATATCCATTTAAAACTAGCAATGAAATCTAAAATATTGGAACTAGAAATGACAATACAATATAAAACAGGCTGTAGATTGCTAACGACTGAAGGTAGATCACCATACTAGGGACCATGGGGACTAACTGTACATTTGCTTCCTGCATGGACCCTAGCTGGATTTACACCATCCCTTCAGCCGTCCCAGCAAGTTTAGACAAATTAGCCATAAGTTAAAAATAACACATATTCTACGATTAAAACTAATGGTATGTTTAAATTTAGTTTGAATGTTTTAGGACTTACGTACCCCTCAGGAGGACAATAATTTTACAGTGCTTCAAACCCCTGTGAGGATACAGTCACTAACAATCCCAGCTGCTCAATTATAAAATATTTATTTTATGTCAAGACATGCTTGACAGTGATTCGTTCATCACAAAGGGATACAAAACAGAGGATCCTCACCTTTTAATAGCTACTCATGCGTATATCTTGTGTGGCCAATACGACATCGTCGTATGATGACCTCTTCAAATCTGGACTGACAACCCAAGTAAGTGTAACCGATATATGGTTTTATTTCATGTAATTTATTGATACCTCTCTTGGGTGTCCCACTTCTTTTGCATCAGATCACGGATATAAGATCTTATAACAGCTTTGTAATCAGAGTATGGGATCAGAAGTGGTGTCACCAGATTTGTTGAGTGCTGCCTTAGCAGCAAAGATCAGCCATTGTGTTACCGGAAATGCCAACGTGGCTGGGTAACCAAGAAAATACGATGTCGCATTGGCCAGTGGCAAGCTCATTATACAATTCAATAATTTCTAATAAAAGTGGATGTTTACAAGAAATATTTTTAATGGCCTGAAGACAAGAAAGAGAATCGGAAAGATTATATATTGTTTATATTTACGGTGTGAGTTAATATATTTTCAAGAAGCTGTTAATATGGCGTTAGATTCTGTCGTGAAAATAGAGCTGTTATCAGGCAATCGAGATGATATTGTTCTTGACCCAATGACAGTGGCACAAGCTACAGCACCACCATCCTTGGATCCATCTGTAAATAAGGATTTGTATGTATTATATTTTATTTCTTTAACTGACTAAATTCTTGTTTATACTGTAATTCATTAGTTTCTGATTTTTAAATGTGGTCAAAGTTAGGTCAACTTGGGGCCCAACCAACTGCCAAGGAGGAGAAGAAAGAAGACGGGAAGGAGCTATAGTTTCCAGATCAATGCCGGCAGCAGAAATGAATGGTTTAATTCTGTGCCCAAGAGGGGGGAACAAGAGAAGACTTTTTGTCAGTATAAATCCTCATAGAGAGGATTAAAACACAATTAAATGCAGGATTTGACTCGTTAGAATATAGTTTAGTTACATACTGCAAGGATAATTTTATACGGCGGTGGTTAAAGAGATGGCTCATCGGCCTCGACGTAAAGACTGTCAATAGGAGAGGTTCTAAAAGATCCAAGACAAAGTCGTAGACCTTAGTGATGGATAGAATCCAAGAAGCATTATTTTAAGGTTGCTTTTACAGGCTCCACCGTAAACAATGGAGCCGTAATCAAGTTTCGAACGGATGAGAGATCTGTATAGGTGTAGTAGGGTACATAGTTTGGTCCCCTCCTCACTTAGAATTTGAAACGACTTTCAACAGATCAAGTGCCTTCAGGCATTTAGCTTTAAGTGACTTAATGTGTGGCAGAAAAGTTAAATGTGAATAAAAATAAGACCTAAGAACTTGGCCTCCTTCACAACTTTGATGGGTGTGCCATTTAGAGATAGTTCAGGATCTTTATGCGGTTTTATATTTACGGCAGAAATGTATACAATTAGTTTTGGATTTAGAAAATTTAAAACCGTTTTCAAGACACCATTTATTTATTTTATTTAAACACAACTGCAATTGCCGTTCAAAAGTATGCATATTTTACCACGACAAGAAATATTAAAATCATCCTCAAACAGTGATCCGTCGATTGAATCGTTTAAAACCTTGGATAAACTGTTAATCTTGATACTAACTAAAGTTACAGACAAAATACATGCCTTGAGGGACCCCCTGATCCTGATTGTAATGATCAGACAGGGTTGAACCCACTCGGACTTGAAATTGCCTGCCTGTTAGAAACTGTGATATAAAAAGAGGCAAACGGCCCCTCAAACCAAAATCGTGTAAGTCCTTCAAAAATGCCATGCTTCCAGGTGGTATCGTATGCTTTCTCGAGATCAGAGGGAATATCCATGCTGCATGTTGTTTATTTACTATTGCATTTTGACAAAGGACTCTAAACGTACCAAATGATCAATGGTACTACGATTTTCCTGGGAAACCACATTGGATATTGAGTGATAAGGTTATTGGTTTCAAGATACCATGTTAATCGATTGTTTACAATTCGTTCCATAGTTTTACAGACACAACTCGTTAAAGAGATTGGTCTGTAATTAGACGGATCAGTATGATCCCGGCCAGGTTTTGGAATGGGGACTACAATGGCATTACGCCAGGAAGTTGGGAAATTCCTGTAGTCCATATCATATCAAATATATTTAGCAGTGTTTCCAAACACGATTCGAACCAAATGCTTTAGGAGCTGATATCATCAGCAGTGGATATCATCAGCCCCTGTAGCTGTATCATAAGATTGCTCTAGAGCAGTATAGCTCATGGAGTGAAAATAATTCATTATAATCTTCACAATTGTCTGAGTTAAAATTTATTCTTTTCTTCTCCTGTTGTTTCTGGTGTTTTTGAAATTCAAGGACATAATTTGATGATGAAGAATGTTTGGCAAGAGTTTCGCCAATTTTATTTGCTATTTCAGTTTTATTAGTTAAAGAGATGGTTTACAGTAGATTTAGAACCTTTGCCCTTAATTCTTTGGACCATGTTCCACACCTTGGACAGAGGTGTACATGAGTTTATTTTGGAAACATAATTCCTCCAAGACTGACGCTTATTTTGTTTAAAGGCACGTCGAGCCTTGGCATTTTGGTATTTTTAACTTTGTCTAAATTATGGACTGTAGGATGTTTACGAAAATATTTTTCCGCTTTCTTCCTGCACTTTCTGGTCTGTTTACATTCATTATTAAACCATGGTTTACGTATGTGTGGAGTTGCAGAGGACTGTGGAACTGTTTTGTCAGCAATGTCATTTAAAATTACCGAAAAAAGACTGTATAGGATCTTCAGTGTTCCTAAAAGATCATGCTTAATGTGTTCAACACACAGAGTCTTATACAATGACCAATCAGCCCTGCCAAAGTTCCTTCTGAATACAGGTGGATCATCACCAGGGTTGATGTTTTTGAGAATGGTGTGGAAGTGATCACTACCACATAGGTCATCATGTACCATCCATTCAAATTCATTATATAAAGGTTGAATCAGTGAGTGATAAATCCATGGAAGAATATGTTCCCGTAGCTGGATGTAAATAGGTGGTTGAATCGTCATTAAAAATACATAGATAGTTATCGGAAATGAAATCCTCAAGTATTTTACCTTTAGTATTAATGTGGCACTCCCCAAAGCGGGTTGTAGTCCGTTAAGATATCCCATAATGAGACATGGCTTCAGAAGTTGATCATATAAATTTTGAAGATCTGACAGTCGAATGTCAGAAGAAGGAGGGATATACAAGCTGCACAGAGTCAAAGCAATGTGCAAGGTCAATGAACAGCTACAGTTTGAAGATTGGTATTCAGAGATACAGGGCTATGAATAATACCCTGGCGCACCAAAATGGTAGCACCCCAGTTGCTTTATCTCCTGGATGAGAAAAGGAGTGATAATCCAGTATACTGTCTCAGATTAAAGTTATCGGTATTTTTTTTTAGATAGAAGTTTCTTGAAGACATAATGCTGCTGGTTTACAATCTTGTATCAACAAGTGAACCTCATTGAAGTTATTTTTCAATCCTCTGCAATTCCACTGCATTAGAGTCGACAACTGAGTCATGGTGGCTCAATTGGCAGCATCGTTCCCAATGAATGTGAGGAGGAATTGTTCCTCTGTCTGTCTTGTGTAGACAGAGTTACCTCCATCATCTAGAAGCCTAAAAAGAGTTTTCTAGAGGGACCTCTGAAGATGAAGGGATGGTAGGGTTGTTTTTGTTTAGTTTCCTTTCTTTCTTTTTCTTTGTATTTGCACTTGATGGTTGAGACGAAGACGTTTGAGATGAATTGCCAGGCAGACGGTCTGTTTGGCTTCCCGACGTAGATGTAGTGACCGGGGTGGAGACTGAGTGACTGCAGCCGTAGTAAGAGTAGCTGACACGACAGGTTTCTCTGACTTGACCCAAGTAAAGTCAGTCTGACAGGAAATAGAGGACGTTGCTACGGAGCGTGTAACTGCAGCAGAATATGTGAAAGTTGATGTTTGGCCTGATAACATTATTTTTGCCTCAAAGTACGAAATATTGTTTTCTACACTTAAGTCTCATGATTTTGGACTCTTTTGCCACACAGAGCATGCCCTGGATGAAGCAGGATGCTGACCCTCACAGTTGTGCGCACGCGCACTTGTGATCTTTCTGACAATCTGGTTCCCTCATGGTGGTCTGAACAACGGGGACACACCAGAGAGTTTTACGACAAGACTGTGATCCGTGGCCAAATTTCTGACATTTATAACACCCGGAGCTGATTGGGGACATACACCTCCACTCCGAGGTTGAAATACCCTTCTTTAATTGATGTTGGAATATGAGACCGAGCAAACGTCAAAAGATACGTATTGGTGTTAATGATAACACCATCTCTCTTGACTGCAAAACGTTTTACTGCCGTCACTGCTTGTTCTTTAAGTTCTGTGGCAATGTCCTCTTCACTCATGTCAGCAAGACATCTGGCTCTATCACGAACGATGCCGCGACAGGAATTTAACGTTCTGTGCACAGACACAGCAACCTCAATGTTGGCAAATGTTTTGATGGATAACAAATTGACAGACTGCTGTCTCGTGCACACTCCACAGAAGTGAACCACTACGAAGAAGGGTGACATTCTTTACTTCACCACAAATGCCACATACAGCCTTCGAAATGGCAAACGGAGTTTAATTTGATTGGCAGGAAATCTGCAGCCTCAATGACTAAAAATCGTGGCCCAGAATCACTGTCAGAAGAATTTATTTACAGATGTGGGATCTAAATCTTCAAAACGTCTTTTCTTTTCACTACGAGATGAACCAGCACGTGATAGTGCCATGGCGAAAGGAAATGATTCAACACCCTGCTCCCCACCCACCATGGAGTGTCAACAAGGACGGTGTCAATATGCATCGGATATCCAAGATGCTGACACCAGGGATACAGGGTGATATACTCCAGAAGAATATGACATGAATAGCTGCATTTTATCTACCAATTTAATGCCAGACTGGTTCGGCCCTTGACAAGAAATTGAGACACACATTACCCAGAGGTCAACATCACCACATTGGCCCATGAGCCACCGCCTTCTGGCATAGGACTCTAGGCAATTTAAAATTATTAATAATTTAAACATTGAAAATACAAATTCCCAAGACCCAATCATAATTTATTGTGCAAATATAACCACCATGCACAGGGCTTGACGTGACCAGCCGATTGATAGAACCGGGCCAGTTCTACCACCCGTCTAGGTGAAGTCAGGGCCAAAGTCGTGTGTTGGGCAACAGGAACACGGTTCCAGGATCCTATTGCCCTCAACCACCCAGAATCCCGTCCTCCATCGACACAGGGGCGCAACCCACGGCAAACAGGTTGGTGGACCAAATATACCCCGGGTCCACAACGGGGGTCGAAGGGCGCTTAGCGTTACCCAGCACCCACCACGAGGAGGTGGCCCTTCATGGGTGCCAACTATATTATTAATATACATTAAAAAAAATAATTACAGGTTATTCACATCAAGGCATTTCAAAAGAGAAGAAAAAGTGTTAACTGTAATGCTTGCAAACAAAGTTTAAAGGAGATTGTTCATGTTATCAGAATTTTTAATAAGTTCAATCAATATAACAATGGTATATAAGGTGAATTTTAGGTTGACAAACATGAACAGGCTCCTTTAATTTTATTGATAGACACATTTTGGCATGATCAAAAAATAAAAGTGATAACTGAAAGAAAGTTCTCAATCAGTCAATATATAAACATAACACAACATGAACGCTTTCAAGACATGCCATTTTCATTTACCCATACGGAATATACCATATTTATCTGTGAAGCATATCACTGGGCTGACAATCAACACCCTGTACTTGTGACTAGAATTAGCACTACAAGCACCATGTTGAACATGACACAGACAAATTCATAATTCTAAAATAAGCAAAATATTTCTTACTCATGTAGTATAAATTGGATGTACTGACCTCATATATCAATGATGTGGCACTAATGTCTATTTTGAGTATTTATTAACATCTGATACTGAACAATCTCTACCATACCAGCTGCACCAATTTTCATGCTGACAACCAAAGGAAAGAAACAATGATAAATATATTAGATCCATAATATATATTAATGAATTAGATCCACATAATATTTAGTAAATATGATTTATGTGGACATTATCATCAAAATATTCTGACTGGATAAGACCGAAGGTACATAATGTAGCATGACCTACAGTCATTCTGAGATATGTTATTTTATCATGCACATGTTGAGAGGAAACCTGCCGAACCTGATATTATATCTCGATCGGCCGACAATTCAAGATGTTTCAATATATAATTTTCTCCCCGATCGCATAGGAATATATAATGAAAGAGCCCGAACGGGGTATGATATCCCCAACCCTAATAAGCGGTATGTTTTACCAGCAGCTGTTTTACTTTACTGTGTCTGTTTCTCAAAGTATTTCTCGTTGAAATACTTGTATGCTTTTGCATGTGACTCTTTCCTGATGCCTTGGATCTTGACTGAAGGTAGTTATCAACAAGTCTTGAGTTAGAAGACCCTCTGGCAGTAAAGACAAATCCCTCTGACTGTAGAATTACCACAGATGACACCATGTTTCTCGCCGGGGATTCCCTTCTCGTGCTCACTCAACCTCGTTTTGGATATTTATGCTATTTTTTTTAGCTACCTAATTTAGGAAAGGCCTATGCTGGTCATCACAGGATTGTCTGGTCCATACCCGATTATTTGCAGACCACCGCAATATAGCTGGAATAGTGTTGAGTGCGGCGTAAAACTAACCTAACTCACATATACACCTTGTCAACACTATACTCATGGTATGTACACCTTATCAACACTATACAACGATATGTTCATCAATAAAAACACAAAACAATGTTGTATGCTCTACAACGCAATACACAGCTATATACACCTTTACAACTCTATACTATGATATATACACCTTGCCAACACTATACTATGATATGTACACCTTTCAACACTATACTATAGTATGTACACCTTGTCAACACTATACTATGATATATACACCTTGTCAACACTATACTATGATATATACACCTTGTCAACACTATACTATGATATATACACCTTTAAACACTATACTATGGTATGTACACCTTGTCAACACTATACCATGATATATACACCTTGTCAACTTACTATACTATGATATATACACCTTGTCAACACTATACTATGATATATGCACCTTGTCAACACTATACTGTGATATACGCACCTTGTCAAAACTATACAACGATATGTTCATCAATATAACACAAAACAATGTTGTATACACTTCAACGCAGAACACAGCTATATACACCTTTACAATACTATACAATGATATATGCATCCATACAAAACAAGAGCATGACGTTTACAAAGCGACTACAGTCTTGTAGCCCATCATGCTGATGCCTTTAATCAAGTCCTCAGTATTTTTCAAATCTCTCGACAAATACCTATTGTATTCGCTTTTGCTACAATCGTCCACAATCAGATCAAAATTTCTGCTGCTGACAGTTGAAGGTATTCCTGACCTTAGGCCATCCTGGTACTTTTCCTTCCCATTCTCGAACCAGCCATTTCCTAATAGTGGCACAGAAGGAAGCAGCACTTTCAGACGTCATAGTGTTCACATGCATAACAATGTTTTATCCATTAATTAAGGTCCCATATAAGGCCACACAATAAACGTCATAGCGTTTTCTTCCTAATGCCTTCATAATCGGTATTTGGTAGTTTGTTTTGATACACGTCCCCGTCTGTTGATGGCACATGTTTTCATGGATAGAATGTATGTCACAAATAGATATGTCACATTGACCATATGCCAACATCAAGCAGTCTCTGTTGTCTTCATCCGTAATTGTCAGATCTGTGCCCTCAGATACAAGGAGATGATACAAATCATAGTGTCCCCTTTCTGATGCTATCATGATTGGTGTTTTTCCTGAGAATCCTCCTCGTCTGTTGATGTCACATGTTTTCATGGATAGGATGTGTTTGACAATAGATATGTCACATTGACCACATGCCAACATCAGGCAGTCTCATCTAGTTAGTTTGCATCAGTAATGGTCAGATCTGCGCCCCTCAGATACAAAGCAGATGATAAACATCATAGTGTCCGCTTTTAATGCCATCATAATTGGTGTTTGTTTTGACTTTCCTCCCCGTCTGTTGATGTCACATGTTTTCATGGATAGGATGTGTTTCACAATAGATATCTTACCTTCTTCACATGCCCACATCAGGCAGTCAGTGTTGTTTGTATCAGTAATGGTCAGATCGGCACCCTCAGATACAAAGGAGATGAATACACATCATAGTGTCGTCTCTTTAATGCCATCATTATCGGTGTTTGTTTTGACTTTCCTCCCCGTCTGTTGATGTCACATGTTTTCAGGGATAGGATGTGTTTCACAATGGATATGTTACCTCCCTTCACATGCCAACATCAGGCGAAGTTGTTTTGTACAAATCTGTAATGGTCAAATCAGCACCCTCAGATACAACCAGATGATACATACCATATTTCCCTCTTTCTAATGCCATCATAACTGGGGTTCTTCCTGATAATCCTCCCCGTTTGTTGATGTCACATGTTTTCATGGATAAGATGTGTTTCACAATGGATATGTTACCTCCTTCACATGCCAATATCAGGCAGTTGTTATTGTACAAATCTGTAATGGTCAAATCAGCACCCTCAGATACAAGCAGATGATACAAACCATATTTCCCTCTTTCTAATGCCATCATAACTGGGGTTCTTCCTGATAATCCTCCCGTTTGTTGATGTCACATATGTTTTCATGGATAAGATGTGTTTCACAATGGATATGTTACCTCCTTCACATGCCAACATCAGGCAATCTCTGTTGTTTGTATCAGTAATGGTCAGATCTGCGCCCTCAGATACAAGGAGAAAATACACATGATAGTGTTCTCTGTTTAATGCTATCATAATTGGTGTTGTTCCTGATAATCCTCCCCGTTTGTTGATGTCACTATGTTTTCATGGATAAGATGTGTTTCACAATGGATATGTTACCTCCTTCACATGCCAACAACAGGCAATCTCCTGTTGTCTTCATCAGTAATGGTCAGATCTGCGCCCTGAGATACAAGGAGACGATACGCATGATAGTGTCCTCTTCTAATGCTATCATAATTGGTGTTTTTCTTCGAATCCTCCCCGCCTGTTGATGTCACATGTTTTCATGGATAGGATGTTTTGATAATAGACATGTTACCTTTCTCACTTGCCAGCATCAGGCAGTCAGTGTTGTTTCCATCAGTAATGGTGAGGTCAGCTCCCTCAGATACAAGGGAGATGATACACATCATAGTGTCCTCTTTCTAATGCCATCATTATCGGTGTTTGTTTTGACTCTCCTCCTCGTCTGTTGATGTCACATGTTTTCATGGATAGAATGTGTTTCACAATAGATATGTTACCTCCTTCACATGCCAACATCAAGCAGTCTCTATTGTTTGCATCAGTAATGGTGCGATCGGCACCCTCAGATACAAGGAGATGATACACATCATAGTGTCCTCTTTCTAATGCCATCATTATCGGTGTTTGTTTTGACTCTCCTCCTCGTCTGTTGATGTCACATGTTTTCATGGATAGGATGTGTTTCTACAATAGATATGTTTCCTCCTTCACATGCCAACATCAGGCAGTCACTGTTATTCCCACCAATAATGGTCAGATCAGCGCCCTCAGATACAAGGAGATGATACACATCATAGTTTCCTCTTTCTAAAAGCCATCATAACGGGTGTTTTTGTCTGAATGCTCCTCGTCTGTTGATGTCAAATATTTTCATGGATAGGATGTGTTTAACAATAGATATGTTACCTCCTTCACATGCCAGTATCAGGCAGTCGTTTTCGTATCTATCAGTAATGGTCAGATCAGCGCCCTCAGATACAAGGAGATGATACACACCATATCTTCCTCTCTTTATTGCCATCATGATTGGTGTTTTTCTGCGAATCCTACTTGTCTGTTGATGTCACATGTTTTCATGTATAGGATGTGTTTCATAATAGACATGTTACCATCATCACTTGCCAACGTCAGGCAATCGGTGTCGTTTGCATCAGTAATGTTCAGATCAGCGCCCACAGATACAAGGGAGATGATACACATCATAGTGTCCTCTTTCTAATGCCATCATTATCGGTGTTTGTTTTGACTTTCCTCCCCGTCCGTCGATGTCACATGTTTTCATGGATAGGACGTGTTTCACAATGGATATGTTACCTCTTTCACATGCCAACATCAGGCAGTTAGTGTTGTTTGTATCAGTAATGGTGAGATCAGCTCCCTCAGATACAAGGAGATGATACACATCATAGTGCCCTCTTTCTAATGCCATCATTATCGGTGTTTGTTTTGACTTTCCTCCCCGTCCGTTGATGTCACATGTTTTCATGGATAGGACGTGTTTCACAATGGATATGTTACCACCTTCACATGCCAACATCAGGCAGTGAGTGTTGTTTGTATCAGTAATTGTCAGATCAGCACCCTCAGATACAAGGAGATGATACACATCATAGTTTACTCTTTCTAATGCTATCATGCCTGGTGTTCTTTCTGAGAATCCTCCCCGTCTGTTGATGTCACAAGTTTTCGTGGATAGGATGTGTTTAACAATAGATATGTTACCTCCTTCACATGCGAACATCAGGCAGTCTCTCTTTGTCTTGATCAGTAATGGTCAGATCAGCACCCTCAGATACAAGGAGATGATACACATCATATCGTCCTCTTCTAATGCCATCATAACTGGTGTTTTTCCTGAGAATCCTCCCTGTCCGTTGACTGCTATTCTGAGTCCCAATGCTCCGCGTCTGTTGATGTCACAAGTTTCCATGGATAGGATGTGTTTCACAATAGATATGTTACCTCCTTCACATGCCAGTATCAGGCAGTCATTATTGTACCTATCAGTAATGGTCAGATCTGCGCCCTCAGATACAAGGAGATGATACACATCATAGTGTCCTCTTCTAATGCTATCATAATTGGTGTTTTTCATGGAATCCTCCTCGTCTGTTGATGCCACATATCTTCATGGATAGGATGTGTTTCACAATAGATATGTTACCTCCTTCACATGCCAACATCAGGCAGTTAGGATGTTTTGATAATAGACATGTTACCTTTCACTCTTGCCAGCATCAGGCAGTCAGTGTTGTTTCCATCAGTAATGGTGAGATCTGCACCCTCAGATACAAGGAGATGATAGACATCATAGTGCTCTGTTTCTAATGCTATCATAATTGGTGTCCTTTTGCAAATCCTCCCCGCCTGTTGATGTCAGCATGTTTTCATGGATAGGATGTGTTTCACAATAGATATGTTGCCTCCTTCACATGCCAACATCAGGCAGTCGTTATTGTACCCATCTGTAATGGTCAGATCTGCGCCCTCAGACAGCAGATGAAGATAAACATTTTCATGTCCTTCGTTTGCGGCAAACATAACTGATGTTTTATTCAATGTTTTTTCCCTTTTGTTAACATCGAATAGCTTCAGTGAAATTAAGAAGTTCACAGTTGAAAGATTACCATTTTCACTTGCAAAATGCAAACAGTCCTTCCCTCCTGTTACTGTTAAATCGGCTCCTTTTGTTTTAGGAACCTTAGAATATCAATGCGACTCTTTTGGTACAAATCATTGCAGGCGTTAAATTCTCATAACTCATCAAGTTAATCAAGGCAGGGCATGTTTCAACTACCTTTGTTGTCAACGCCATGCTTCCTGATTCACATGCATAATGCAAACAGGTGTTTCCTTTCCTGTCCGTAACTGAAATATCAGCACCTTTCCGTATGAGAAAGTCGAACACCTTAAGATTTCGGGACTTTGCAGCAATGAGCAGGAGGGTTGTCCTGTCGATAGCATATTCAACATCAAATCCTCCATGTTCACACATCACTGTAACGAGGTGTTCCAGATGTTCCAGTTTGTCATGGCTAATGCAGGCTACCACACATTAATATAGATCAGGTACTGTGTCACCCAGTCTTAGAGCAACTTCTAAAGACTTGGAGAATAGAAAGTAGCTGTAAGACAGGGAAGCCAAATACAAAAAGCTTTCACCAGTTTCCATGTCCTTTTGCAGGACAGTATCGACAATGTCATCATTAATCTCTTGCCATAGTAGAGAGACAATCTTTTCATCCTGGAGAACGGGGTGTTTTACTGTCCAGATGAAGTACCCTTGTCGAATACCTTCCGCAAATCTGTTCACTACTGTTGGGTGTAGGTTGGGGGTGATGGAGATCAGGTTTGTGACATCATCAATGCCTGATGACCGTGAACTAATACTTAATCTCACTCTTTCATACAAGAACTTCAGTGAGCAGTGTTCCAGCAGCAACACGATGTTGAGATGTCCTAAAGCACAGGCTGCAGCGTCGTATATGGAGGGGTGGGAGAAAGATGCTATGTGATCCTCCACTGTACAGTAGATCCCAGTAAAGTTGTTGATCTCCTTGCCAATGCCTGTTCTTGTACAACAAGGAACTACTTCCTTGACAGCGTCAAACATCACTTGTCCAGCTTTCCGTGATTGCAATGAAACAAGGTTCAGTCTTCTATCAGACAGGATGAGGGATGATGATTGCTGCCGATCTATTGCTTTCTTCACGGACAATGGCGTCCAAGTCACTTCTCAGGTAGGTCAGCGGGTGGTTGAAGAATTTCAGCTTGTGTATCTGGAAGACAGCATTGGTAAAAACAGTCTGCTGATAAGAGGAAATCCAAATATGTTGTGTTTTGAATCTGTGATAATACAAATATCCTTTTCAGAGATATCGCATGCAGGGTGTTTGGACTTGTAAGAACACAACACACGTTTCATTTCTTCAGTCGTGAGGCAGTCTTTAGCCATATCAAGAACAGCTTCTGGTGTAAGTAGATCCACTTTGTACTGACGTAGTCTGGAACATCCTTCCTTCCAGTTGTATGTCCTAGATGTGAACACAAGCTTCAATCTGTAGACAGGGGGTCTTCTTTGGATTTGTCTTTCCCTTTCGGTTGTTCATCCGTTTTCTTCTTCTTTGAAACCTCTAGTATTTTTGCAGCAGTTTTAGCACGATCATCAACCAACGCACTAAACAGTTTATGTAGTTTTTCCAAATTTAAAATGAATGTAATAGAGCCAAATATATCGTCAAAAACAACCAACATGTGTGATTGTCTTTAGAAATTGTATCAACATCAAAGAATTCAACGTCTTCCACAAACACTGTTTCATATCCCTGTTGTTGATATTCCTCACAGATCATCAGAGCAATGCTGGTCTTCATCTCCTGGAGCACCACTACAGATGCTGGCATGACCATACTTCTCAAGGACTTGTTTGGCGTACTGTCTGGAGGGCATGGATGTCCACAAAATACTTCTTTAGTTGTTCCAACTTGTGACAGAAACGTTCTGTTGGGAAAGGGAATGAAATGAAAGGAGTTAATAGTCAATGCTTGGGTCTGATGCTGGCAATTCATACCAGTAATTGTAACATAAGATCACAACAGAGGACGAAAGCATCCTCTTACACACATTTATATTTTAATCGGTCTATAACGAGAATATTTTAGATCAACTGTTCTTTTTTAGGATATCCAATACCTGAACAATTATGTTTACGATAAAGCTGAGAACAAATCCCCAGGGCTTTTTTGAAGACTGTTATGGATTTTCCAATAATTCAACCCTTAGCCCTCTTTTCATTTTCAGGACAGTAGTTGTGCCCTTTTAGCGGCTACTAGGGGTGGAAAACAGCATAAGAGATGGACTTGTCGTCATTGTCCTCTTTATCAATTTATCAGCATGTTTGTGCAGCATCACCTTGGGACAGACATCCTCTAGTTCCTGCTCCCCAACGGAGACAGAGACATTGGAAGCATTGGTCAAGTTCACCTGAGACACTGGACCCCCTGCAACAGACCAAGTTAACCTCTGGTCTCAATTTTCCTGTTATTCTCATACTGTCTAAGCATAACTTCAAACAAATTATTTCACTTGGATCAGTTCTTTCTTACTCAAGCCTATATTTATAGACCATCTCCTGCTAATACTCATGCTTATCTGCATTGCACGCGTGATTATGAAATGCTCACTGTAGTTGTGCTGTGAAGCTAATATAGATGTTGGTTGTCTCCTTTGTTCATTCTTTCTCAGGACTTAAATTCTTGTTATTTCATCTTATCATACCATTCTCTTCCACAGAGGTTACTTCCTGTCATATCTTCCTACGTAGGGAAGATATGACAGGAGTAACCTCTGTGGGAAGAGAATGCCATCATGGAACCATAAGCATAAATTCAAACAAATTGTTTCACTTGGATCAGTTCTTTTCTTACTAAGCCTATATTTATAGATCATCTCCTGCTCATAATCATGCTTATCTAACTGCATGCATGACTTAGAGTGCATGAAATGCTCACTGAAGTTGTGTTGTGTGGCTGATATATAGGTGGGTGGTCTCCCTTGTTCATTCCTGCTCAGGACTTCAGCTGCTTCCTCAGTAAGCCTTCCGGTGATCTGATGGTCACTTGAGTCGGGATTTCTTTCCATTACTCACTGTCCTGAAGGTAAGAGTACAGTTGCAACACTTGTCACATAATTATAACAAGAGGGACTTTGATCAACCTCAACCTTCATACACAATCAAGTGCTAAATGAGTAAGTGAGTTAAGTTTTACGCCGTGGTCAGCAATATTCCAGCTATATATGGCGGAATCAAAGGCTAAAAAGAACCATTTAGTGCAACATACAGTCTGTATTTTATTATTGTTTTATTTGGTTTGTCATTTTCGTATAGTTTTCATCTCCAGCAAGAGAATAATAATAATAAGGGCATTTGTAATGCGTTGAATTCCGCACCCACAGAGGGCACGCTCAAAGCGCTAACATCACAATCTGATAATCCGAATAATCCAAGCTGCCTTTGATGCGCTAGAAGGTTCACTGTCACATGACATCCCACCGTTGCCCATTTTCTGCTGGGTGAACAGAGGCAGTTTTGAACAAACTCACTTGCCTCAGGTGAGACCACCACGTTGCTTAATTGCCACTGATATGTGATTTGGGGCTGAGCTCTATGCACAGGACCACAAACACCAACACGTTCATGGTCTCCTAAAAGAAACATGCAGTATAGCTGTATACTGTGAAACTTGATCTCTGATGTTACATACAGATAGGGACCATTCAAAGCCTTAGTCTTATTGTTTACAATACATTTCTTTATGAGGTTAGCATATTTGATTATTCTCAGGAGATTGTCGGGTGACAGAGCATTACCCCAAATTTAAGTATACCACTGGCTAATATGCACAGGTATATACGTTGAGAGCAGCTTATACTGTGATGGATATCCTAATATAACAACTATGACATTTAAAGTTCATACAGACGGGAAGTTTCCTAGTCTTTGCCGGTTGTATTTGTTTTATTGGTTATTGAGCCAAGCCGTTGTTTAAAAGTATGAATGATATGTTGAGTATAACCATTTGCCTCTTTTCAGATATATATAGCCCAAAGGTCACAGACATCCTGCCAAAATTATTGCAGGGATTATGCTCTGAGGCGAGTGGCATTTTAACCTCTCCTGACACCTTCGATGCCTTTGAAAGGACTTCCGTCCGTAGCTTCAATAACCAAGAGGCATTTGTTCATGCTCAGAAGAAAAAGATGTCTTGTTCTTTTTATTTCCTTTAACTGAAGCAGAGTTGGAATTTTGAGGCATGTATTAGTTATGTGTGTTTTTTATCAATGCTGCTCCCCACCCGACAAAATGGACTATGTGTTGAAATGGAAACCATCCTGCAACACCAGGGCTACAAGGGTGATGGACTCAGAAATACAGACATGAACAGCTAAGAAATCTGAAGGACAAAATGCTAGGCTGGTTCGACCTAGAACAAATTTCTTGAGAAATTCAGAATTCAGAGGTCCATGTCACCAGATTGCCCCTTTCTTTCAAAGGTTTCTTTCAAGTTACATTTGCATATTCACGGGCAAAAGTATTGTATGCACAGGGCATGACGTGACCAGCCGATGGATATAGCCAGGCCGAATTCTTCCACCCGTCAAGATGAAGTTAGGATCGAAGTGATGTGTTGCACAAAGGAATTCGGTTCCTGGCTCCAATGCCCTTTGACCACCAGGATCCCTTCCTCCACTGACACCGGGGCACAACCCACGGCAAACAGGTTATCACAATTCAGTGGGGGGCTGTAGACACATTCTTCCCGGGTCCACACATGGGAAGTGTTGTTAGCGTTACCCAGCACCCACCACGAATGCAGCGCTAAGCGTGAAGTGCCGATGTCAAAACAACATACTTTGTTTGAGGAATTCGCCGAGAATACGTTCTTTCATATAACTGTTCATTGTTATCTAAGTCAGTGAATTTGATGACCCGTGGATATCATGGATATTGATAGGTCATGTGTGCTATCTCAGCATCTGACTAATGGGGTTTAATTTGAAACACCTGAAACAAACTTACTTGACTAGTTGAGATAAGAACGCGTGTTATAATATCCTGTAAAGCTATATTTACCTTTTCTTACAAACCCGTGGGTGAGAAACCCATATGAGAAGACTGGTATCACACATATGTGTGAAATCGATTTCCATGCCCGTGATTGGCTACTCCATGGTGATGACCTAGGGTCAGGCTTTGACGGACTACTTTCCTGATCAAAATTCATTGATACGTTTTTCGTGCTTCAATCGAATGTATACCTGGTACTCGTGCCAAACACTTTAAATATCTGTTTTGCTGTCGCCTGCCTTATTTGTGTGACTATCTTGTAAGTATGCATTAATTTAATGAACCGAACTTAGTTCAGACAGTAACGTGTACCTATTTTCTTTTCTTTTTCCTTGTCGTCTGCTACCGTAGATGCTGCTGATTATGCATAGTCCCGACTTCAAAATGGCTCCAACAATAAGTAACATCTGTGTAAACGATTACGTGAAGATCGGTGGCAAAGACTAAGGGCGTGTTATCTCCATTGTGTCTCCCCTTGGAACATACAAAATGTACAACATTAGAACTTATACATCAGAGATGCGACAGGTTTCAACGTATCGTCTCATGAAAATACCTGACACGGTAACGGTAACGTCAGTGCCAGTTTGTGGTGAGATCGACTTACCTACTGACTTAATTGATGAACTGATGAAGGATGATTTTTTAGCGAAACGGTACGGATCGATCCCCAAACCCTGAACAACTATATGATCATTCTCAAATTGACAAAATTCGTTCATGACAATCAGAACCGAAACACAACGTAAAACAATGTTCAACATGAGGCGTTTGCAAAGGTTCATGATTGCAAATGGTGACACACGTCCTATCGAGTCCATTCAGCCAACAGAACTTTGTGACATTTTGTGTACATTTTATTAACCTCAGAAAGGTGAGGTGAGGTGAAATTGCGTTTTACGTCGTACTTGAGAATATTTCACTCATATGACGACTTGCATGCGTGTGTATGTGTTTGTGCGGCTGCTTTGTACTAGCCCAGACTTTAGCTGGTTTTATAGTGCTACCCCACTGAGATACTATGCCGCAGTAAAGCGTGACTACCCCCACTCAGACACATTATACTGACTCCGAGCCGACCAGTCCTTATTGTACCCATTAATGCCGAGCGCCAGGCAGGGACCAGCAAGTACCATATTTTAACGTCTTTTGGTATGACGCGGTCGGGCGGACCTCTAACCACTACACCACGGAGGCGGTCAGCCTCAGAAAAGAAGATGGTATCAATTATGAACCATCTTCGCGGGATGTTGTCCAGTTTTGACAGGTAACTTACGCCCCTTCACACTTGAGGCAGAATGAGCCGGAATGCTGTCGGAATGAAAATTCTTGGCGATTCCTGGAAATTAGAACTGCATTCTAAAACTTCTTACTCCATTCCGAATGCACTCCAACTTTTTCGTGTCAATTCTTATAACATGCCCGAATGTCTTGAACATGTTCAAAACATTCGAGGTACATTCGAAGTGGAAAAATATCTAACAGCCTTTGAAGTGCATTCTAACTGCATTCTAAGTATTCTGAACGTATTCGAGGGAGAATCGAAGGCGAACCATTTCAAATCGTGCAAGAATGTCCCGAATGCGCCTCGAATGTACTTCGATTACTCCAAAGGTAGTGGAATATTTAGATTGCACTTTGAATACAGCTCGAATGTACATCGAATAACCTCGAATACAGGCAGAACGTCCCGAATGCTCTTCAAATCAGCCATGACGACACCAGAACACCGTCGAATCGCCTGAAAGCCACCTGTCACTGGAAACTTCAGATATCATTTTGGAGTCGCCAGTGAAAAACAGCAAAGAAGAAAGGAACGAAGGGGAAAGAAATCAACCACTAGCCGTGGTACCCTTGCACCTTCCCAGTCAACAGATTCTCCGCATGTTCCTCAGATAGGCAGAGAGGCTTCGGTACATGAGACAGTAGCCTCTCCTGAGTGCTTGGTTGTTGAAGTAATTGTCGCCGACAAGCCTTTTTATTTCTCTATCTTTCCATCAGAAGGCTGCTTCTCCACTGTCTGATATAGGGAGTTGTACGTGTTACCCGTATTTGGCTCACCACCAAAAGCACGGGCTTCTACACCTGTGACGTATGACAATTTGAATTCACATTCAATTGTCATCCGTCAGCCATCATCCACATGTATGGCTGACACAACATCTTCCTAATGTTGTATTTCATTCACAGGTAAGCACCCTCTCTATATCCTTTCTTTATTTCATAGTGCTAAATATCTAATTATTATCAGTTAAGTATTTTTAAGTTAGTAAACATATTGTTACCGATCGCGCATAAAGTAAACATATCTATCGCGTATCACTTACTAACTTAAGCACAAGCACGTAAGACAGTGTGTGAAAGTATAATTATATTATATTTTATAAACCTTTTATTATCAACACCAACTGTATATATTTTGAGCAATAATATGATGCATCAGCTTTATGTGACGTCATCATGTAAACAATCAACATTATTCAATTGTTATCATAATTATAACGTATGCCACTGTGCTATTTGATTATCAGTTGAATAATTAATATGCCCTGATTGATTGACATTCAATTATCATCCGTCAGCCATCACACATGTATGGCTGACACAACATCTTCCTAATGTTGTATTTCATTCACAGGCAATAAACAAGATGTTTCGCACACGAACGAGGGGCCTCCGTCCGTTATTTTGTCTGCTTGGCAAGACTCAGGCCTGAACCAACGACATAATGTTTGAGGATCTCGCTGCTTCTTTCCAGCCTGGGTGTGTCTCTTTCCCCTGGAACATGCTACACATCTTCAAGCTGCACAAGTTGTCTCTAGCCACCATACCTCGTTCACCATACCATTGTGGAGATTACGATAACGAATCCACATCAGTTGTGCAGGCAGACACAGCTTTCAACGATGTCTTTCACAACAGAAGGCCTTGGCAGCATGGTGGTGAGGAGGGTTTGCCATCTCCGGACCATGCTTCAAAATGCATTTTCCACTACCCGTTGACCTCTGCTGATCCTGTAGTTGTAGATTCTCTCGTCTTTCTGGAGAGTCATATGACCATACGGTTTCATCAAGAAGGTCGTTATTCCAAAGGCATCATCTCCCCGAATAAAGGGAGATTGCACGCTTATCATCTTGAGGTAACGGGAACGGATCAGGAAATCCTATGCTCCCGCCCTCAAGACAGTCCTTGAGCTCGCACTCGGTGAAGATCTGACATACTTCCGTAAGCACCAATGTCCACCCACAGGAACTTGTAATTTCTATCCACAAGTGTCATGAGGGACCACAGAGAATAGGTCCTTGTAGTTGTGATACAATGAGCCGCTCTTGGCAGGTGTCCTGATGGCCCTATGTTTGTCATCTAAAGCTCCTACGGCATGAGGAATATTCCACCTGTTTCTGAATACCTCTTAAATGGATGCAGATGATAACCTCATCCTTGTATTATTGTATTCCTCCACAATGGCTTCACATACTTCTGGGATGATCAGGTTGATTCTGTTCCTTGGCACATGGTGTTGGGGTACCTATCATCTGAAGCCAGGAACCTCAATGTGATGGCTACCTTGAAGCCTGAAGGTAGCGTATTTCACATATATGTATCCTGCTTCTGTAGCCTTGGTCCCACTCTCTGCATCAACTCATCAAACATGGCAGGTTCCATCCTATGGTAGTTGAAGAAAGAATGCGTGTCTTCAACTCTGAGCTGCTCCATCAGTCTTGTGTAATGTCCATACAGCCTCCTCCTTTCCTCTGTCAGCCATGGTCTGGTCTGGAATCTCCTGGGTCTTCTCCTGTTTCTTCTGCTGGTCTCCAAATCTCCACATCTATTTCAATCAGGTCTTGCTGGAGGACAGCAATCTGGAAGCAACGCAACATGGTCCAAGGGTCCATACATATATTGCTGCATTCTTGATGCGTTTCGGACAATCGTGTTACATTCTAAGTGCATTTGAAGGACATTTGAAATAATCGAGCTGCATTCTGTTTTAAGTCTGTAACATTCAATCCATATTAGAGGGTCATTCCAAGAGGGTTCTGAATGCTTTCTATGTAAATTCGTAGAGCATTAGAGGTAATTTCCACTGCTATTCACGCAGCAATCGAACCGGACTCGTACGGCAGTCAGAATTCATGTTAAGTATTCTTAGTGTATTCTAACGGCATTCTAATTATTCCTACTGTATTCCGATTCATTCGAGCTGCAGTCGTGATCTAGTACATTTGGAATGAATAAGAATCATTCGAGGTGGGTTCGAAGAGCATTGCAAGTATTCAATAGCCTAAGCTTCTTACAAAGCTTGAAAAAATTGTTTATTTTGATATTCTCTCTCGGCTGATTCTCCTTGATTCCTGTCGATTCGAAATAAGTGGAAAGAGGCATTTAAGCATTAAATAAAGCATTACCGTTCATCACTTATCAATGATCGTGAATTCGAAACGTTAAACACTGCCATCTAAAACAAAACAAAAGTCCAATAATCGAAGGTGCCGTGCTGAATCGCTCACTGACGATGACATTAACTCTATGAAACAAAACTTGGTCCTCACGATCCCGAATCCATTTTGAACACTGTGTGATGGAACAACAACACCCATTATGGGATCCGTAGTGTCAAACCACACACTGACATGAGAATTGGGGAAGTTGCGCTTAAAACTGACACAGATGGTAGAGAATTTCTTGAGGGGCAGTCGAGGAACATGCCAAGGGGATAATCCTTTGGGTATCGCTCGTTAGATACGTTTTGAAACAACGTACTCGTTGTAAGATAAATGGTATCTGACAGACACTCGTTTAGTAATCTCTATAGAATATTATATTGTAACATAGACACGTAATATCGAACATGTTTGTTTGTTCAGCTTCAGATGCCTCGGTTATATAACTGTTGCAGACTGCAGTTACGACGTTTGCCGTTTGTCATTCTCCTGAATTGGCAAGGACGCGTGAGACCTCAACAGTTACTTTTTGCTTATTTATTTGTCTGTAAACAATGGCGTCTGGACCACAAAATCCAGTGATCAACATTGTGAGCGTCGATCTACGTAACTGGAATACAAAAGACATGTGTCAACCAAGTCAGCGAGTCTGACCATTTGATCCCGTTAGTCGCCTCTTACGACAAGCATGGGATGTTCTAGACCAATTCTAACCCGGATCTTCACGTCTATCAACTGTTACTGCTCAACCTTATCCATAAATAAACAATATTCAGGAACAGCGCTAGAACTCAGGGCTGAGGGTCATTGTTATCTTAGATATAAACTGCAACAAATAAAAACAACTCGATAATGGAATACATCTGATTTATATTTCCAAGGTTTACGAGGATATGCACATATCACAAATTTCTGTATACACAACATATACCACCCATCAAAAGTCTAGACTCACTAGTTTTCATGCAGCCACTTACTTTTCAGGCAACTGTTCTAAACTAGATTGTGCGAAATAGTCCATGGTGTTTGAAGGTACTGTTTACACATGAACTGATGTATTTTAAAACAAATTCGTAACGCTGAAAAGATTATTGTCATGAGTTCAATAAATGATGAAATTCAGTGTATATTCAGAAAATTGGCAAATTCTTAACAAAACATTTCACCAAACACGCAGCTATTAACATGTACGATATTTGCACATGCGTTTCGGCAATTTGATGCATGATCCTCGAGCAATTCATCTGCATTTGGTTTGCAGTTGGTTCCCAAGTAAGTGGAGAATTCATCTTCGATAGAACCACATATATATCCATAACGTATAGTGAGTGCTTTAAGTGAATCTAAACTTTGATGGGTAGTATATATAACAAAGCACAAAATCACTCTGAAGGATATGAGGAATAATATGCACAATTTGATATTGACTAATGTTATAGCGTCACCCTTTCACGTAGTGTATACACTAATCAACGACAAAACCACGTCAGTTCGGGTGTAGCTCTTTCACTGTATATCCAATATGTTGATGACATTCTCAGATCTACCAATAGCTGTTGCCTTGTGCTGAGCAGCAGCAATAGCCTTAAATCTATCGGGGCAAAAGGCAAGGCACGACAGAGGCTAAAACTCGTCCATAATCTGCGAAGAAAAGGTCCATCCGTATTTCAATATCATTAAACTTGGAGTGTTTTTTTCCTGAGCACAGGAATATATTTCAGTCACATCGCTATTCCTAACAGAACAAATCAAACCTTACATCTTTAATGAAAGACAACCTAATAATGTCTGAAATGCAATGGCTAGTGTAGAAAACACACAGTACTCACGTCCGACTGATGAAGTCCAATAAGCGTCATCCGATAGCATCACAGGTAAGTCCTCACACCTGATAATCACAAATGTTATTGATGGTTATATTCGGTTATTCGTATATCAGCGTCGTCAGTCCGAGGTCGGTGCATGCAGCGTAATGCAGGCATACTCAGGTGACTGCTGCAACTGCGTAGAAGCCACCTAATTGTACAACATCGATCCCATAAGCGGGAAGTCATTGCGTCATCCAATGTATTGTCGCGTATTGAGTGTCACCAAGACAACAGCCTTCACGGTGGGTTGTTAACTGAACACCCATATATAGTAACGTTCCTGACAAGTGGATGTCGTTAGCTTGGGCTGGGTAAGGCAGAAAGGATAGGCCATAATTTAGGGCTAGGCCTAGGGTCAGAACAGTTGGGCCTTTGGTAATGTGCGGGTCTGAGATCAAGGCTTAGGAGTTAGGTATTTAGGTATATCTAGGCCTAATGTCAGCTTTATGAAGTAGAGGCGTGGGTCGAGAGACAGGATGAGGAGGAAAACACAAAGGGGAGTCCAACAGACACCTGACACAGGTGGGCTGCCAACAGACACATTACACAGGTCGGCTGCCAACAGATACGTGACACAGGTGGGTGGAAAACAGACACATGACCCAGGTTCGTAGCCAACAGACACATGGGTGGATAAAAGACACATAACACGGGTCGGCTGCCAACAGATTCGTGACACACATTGTGGCGGCCAACAAACACATGACCCACTTCCGTAGCCAACAGACACATAACACAGGTCGGCTGCCAAAAGACACAAGACACAGATCCGTAGCCAACAGACACATGACACAGATGGGTGGGCCAAAAGACACATGACACAGGTGGGTGGCCAACAGACACATGACACAGGTGGGTGGCCAACAGACACATGACTCACTTCCGCAGCCAACAGACACATGACACAGGTCGGCTGCCAACAGACACATGACACAGGTTCGTAGCCAACAGACACTAGGCACAGGTCGGTGGATAACAGACATTATGACACAGGTGGGTGGCCAACAGACACATGACACAGGTGGGTGACCAACAGACACATGACTCACTTCCGCAGCCAACAGACACATAACACAGGTCGGTTGATAACAGACACATGACACAGGTTCGTAGCCAACAGACACATAATACAGGTCGGCTGCCAAAAGAGACACATGACACAGGTCGGTGGAAAACAGACACATTACCCGGGTGGGTGGCCAACAGACACATGACACAGGTGGATGGCCAACAGGCACATGACTCACTTCCGCAGCCAACATACACACATAACACAGGTCGGCTGCCAACTGACACATCACACTGGTCGGTGGCCAATAGACACATGACACAGGTGGGTGGCCAACTCCACACATGACTCCAGGGTCTCCTATCACAGCCTCGGCCAAGGTGAGAAATCTTCGAGACCAGCAGCTCAGCATGAAACATCATATAACCATGTGGTCCTGTACACAGAGCCTGTGGGTCACGAAGCAATTGAATTCAAGCAATGTCGAGCTCGGACAGTCCTTGGATGGGTGACCTTGTTTGGCAGATTGACTCCTTCGTAAGCGTAAACTATGTGTAGCAAATGGTTATGGTTTTGTATGGTTAAGTCAGTCAGTTGGTGATGCAAGTTTGTTTTAACTCAGTTTCGAGAAAGAAGTCTTAACATGTTTAATCAAGAATGTAAAAGATAATACTTCACGGTATGACTCTTATAGAATATACAAATCACTACTCCAGCCGGAGAAATATCTCGTTTTAACATCAAAGAAATTAAGATATCCATTTATACGTTTTAGGTTAGGTTTGATCAACATAATGGTAAACGAAGGAAGGCGTTTTCATATTGAACGATGTAAGAGAATGTGCCCTATGTGTAATATAGATGTGGAAAATGAAATCCATTTTAACTTGAATGTCCTTTTCATAAAGATTTGCGTACGGAATATATACTAGCTGAATATTATCTATGTAAGCCACCTTCATAAGCTTTTAAACTATTTCCTTCATCAACTGACCAGCATGTAATAATAAAGCTGTCGTACTATATCAAGTATGCTCTCATTAAACGTAACAATCTGATAAAAGGTTTTGTAGACCCACCGTATTTCACTACTTGTACATAATTTACTGCCTGTATCATGATTTACTGTTTGGATCACTAATTACTACTTATTGCACCATATGTATAATGTATATGTATAACTCCAATGTATATGGGCCGGAGGCTTTTGTACAATAAACATCTTTGACTTTGACTTGACTCTTGAGAGTTTCTAGGACTTCATTTTCCCCACAACGCAGCACATGTGATACATGTGGTCTCACCTTAGGCAAATGAGTTTGTTAAGAAATTGCCTCTGTTCACCCAGCAGACAATGATTACCCGGTTGGATAAAGTCATGCGACTATAACCTTCTAGCGCCTAACAGGCAGCTTGGTTATCCGGGATAACAAGAATCAGATTTTGATTAAGCGCCGCGGACGATCACTTGGTGTTTGGAGACTGTGCGCTATAGTAGACTGACTTACTGACTGAGTTTGGTTTTACGCCGCTTTTAGCAATATTCCAGCAACATCATGGCGGGGAACACCAGAAATGGGCTTCACATATTGTACCCATGTGGGATTCGAACACGTGTCTTCGGCGTGACGAGCCAACGCTTTAACCACTAGGCTACCCCACCGCCCCTCGTACGCTATAGAAGATGACGTATTATTATTATTATATGTCATCTGCCAACTTTCACTTAAGAAACATCGCCATGCTTCGACCATACCTAACCACTACATCACAGAAGCGGTCGATTCACTTTAAGGTTCTCCTGTACACCTACAAGTGCTACAACAATCTAGCCACGGCCTACTTGTGTGACCTTCTGAAATCCCACACACCTCCAAGGACTCTATGATCCCCAAATAAACATCTACTGACAGTTCAATCTGTAAGAACGGGCACCTTTGGAAAAAGGACGTTCTGTTCAATTTGCATGTTCACTCATACTACTTTATGACATATGTAATAATACGTAACCGGGTTTTAGGCGACTGGCAAACAGGCAAATTACCCCTGTTAATGCCTCTCCCCACATAATATGAAACAAACACACGCAGACATAACACGTTGATTAAACCAAAACTTAACCCTTAATAATGATGCACATTCTTGATGATGAGTACCGAGTGAATAGCTTTGGAGTTTGACCATGTATATAAAAGTGATAATAACAGCTCAGTCTTAATAGAGTAGTTTAATAACGTTGTTAGGTTTTATTTATTAGTGAATCGGTTTGTTTCTTGAATGTAATTGTGGACTGATGTTGCTAGTTTATAAGTTTCAGTATCATTCAATAGGCTCTCACTGTATAGAATAGTTTTCATATCAAATCCTTTGATGTAGAAATATTTTTTATGTCTTAAATGATTACAACTAGGGCACAAAAATATCATGTAATGGATCCTCTGTGGAATGGCCACAAGGACAGGAGGATATTTCAGTCCATCCGCTTATAATGCACTCCTCCACTAAACGGTTTCTTCTCATTTACCCGCCACCTACTGTTCTAGGTGGGAAAACCACTGACAATAGATGTCTCTGAAATTTTCATCCCTGTGAATTAAGATCCCCCAATAGTATTCAACATCAAGTATCACATAACGTATACAAAATTATTACCTACGACGGCGAAAATATCGGAGTTCATATTTTTCATACGATGCTCTAGGGCAAAATATCATGGTCATGATATCATATCATTTGTCATGGTGACGTGACGTCATGAACAATGGTATGACGTTGCGTTCTACATGCGGCGATGGCGGCCAGCCAGCCTATGTTTGAAAGTAGATTTGGGGTTATTTTCCTCCATTTGACGGCTTCGGTAATGAACAGAATTTATCATCTAATGGAGGGTATTATCGGTGCAATAATGCAATCTGATAAACTTGGTATGCAATTTACGCCAATCCACGAACTACTTTCACAAATCTCCATACACGGCATGCGAATCCTAATATTTCATTGTAAACAAAAAGTGACTGTGTTCTTTGATCTGATTGGTTGAAAAACGTGATCAAATGCTATTCGATTCCCGGAAATTTGCTGCGTATTAATACATACAAACATCTCTCACACCATTGTATTGTTACGTCGTCAGCTGTGATGACGTAATTAAAATCATATTGTGACGTAAAGTCCGAATGACGTCACAAATGAGCAGTTCCAGATGCTACCATGGGAGACAGCCGAAACGACCGTCTGATGACATTTCACTGCTGTACCCGTACACGATGTCAATGAGTGCAGACACAAAAACATGTGTGGACCTTTTGGTTTACTTTTGTGTTTACAATGTCGATAATCATCATGTGTCATCACGTCGTCGCGAGTTTACATTGTTTGTAAACAAACATGGCTGCCCCCATTCTCAAAATTGGTGATTCTGTACGAATTGATGACCGAGGTTCTGGAGTCGTTACAGCAGTAATTGACTTTGAAAAACATGAAATGGAGTACTTCGTTCAAATTGAAGGTACGGATTATGAGGTACGACTGAAAGGCAATCTTCTAAGAAAGGTACCAACCAAGGAGTTAGCTATAGGTTTGCACTGCATTAGCGACTAGTCACAACTATATGCCGCCGTCATGAACTACCGTCACCTTGCTGTACCGCTAAAGTGTTCTTACGCGAATGACATTATATGATAAAGATATTAACCTCGTTTGCTTCAGTATCATTAATATCATATTAAGAATAAAGATTATGCATTATGCTCGTCAAAGGCTCGCATAATACAATTTTATTCCTAATATATGATACTAATGATACGGAAACACACTCGGTTAATAATCTCTATATCATATTCGTGCCCATATCATATATATGTTTACGACACTCGTGCCTAAATATCGGTATATCCCTCGCCTCGCTTGGGAAATACCAACATTTAGGCACTCGTGTCGTAAACATAGTATGACATGGGCACTCATATGATATCCTCTATGTAATCAACATTAAGTGTCACTTGGACATAAATAGTATTAAATACTCTTATGATCAGGTTTATTAGTTTATTTATCAGCACATATAAAATATACTGACTGACTGACTGACTGAGTATGGTTTTTACGCCGCTTTTTAGCAATATTCCAGCTATATCACGG